AAATTCATATGAAATTTCAAGCATGGAGGGACTGGAAATTGGGAAGAAGCTCAAATTTTAGGATTATGCTGGAGACCCTTTTACAATGACAGATGACATTCACTGACTCTTCTCTTTCCTGTAGGGCTTCAAACATTCACAGGAAAAAATAAGAAAGTCATTTCAGTTCTGGACAAGTTACCTGGAGAGTGTTACAATACCGGCTGTAAGTCAGGAGGAATGGAATCAGGGGATAAGTGTGTCACCTTGAACTGAGAAGCTTCAGGCTCTCTAAGAGTGGTCAGAAGCTGGAATAAGGGAACGGCAGAGCAGCTTTCTTTCCAGTCCCTATTTCTGGCCACTAAACAAAGGGAGCGGTATAAGCCAACATGTCCATTGTCTCCCTTGTATTTCAAGCAGATGTTCTGTACCTAACCTGTTTATGCAACGCACACTGGAAAGGACTGTGGGGTCAGGCTAATTTACATAACTTTGACGTGAGCCCACATGTCCAGAAGACTGTAACAGTCCCTTGGGGAACTTGCTTTATTAAGTTCTTGAACATAAGTGCTCAAATGACTGCTCCTTGGAGATTTAAACAAGTATTTGCTCAGCAGGAACCTTAAAAAACACGAGCTTGGGTCAGGAACGTTGGGAGAGACAGTTACAGCAAGAGACATTGCTTTCTACCTTAAAAACTCATGACTGCTTTTGATAAGACGTGTACATTGATGTGCAATGAAATAACAAGCATTCTGGGAACCTGGTGTAATCACATACCCCATAATGATCCGCCACTCTCTTCATCTGTTCAAAGTCTTCCGCTTGGGCCAACAGGCGCAGCCCCTCAGGATGGAGCATGCCGCAGGTGGGGTAGAGGGTCTTCCGGTCCTCTTTGCTCAGTTCAGTCCCAAAGGAGTTAAGAGTGATGATGAAAGCACGTCTGTCAGCCTCAAACTGAATTTTCAAGACACAAAATCAGTGAAATCTAACTATCTGTTAACTGCTACAACCAGAACTCTGAGTAGAAAAATTCATTTCCAAAGTGACTTTCTATCCTTCCTGGGTCTGTGTCTGATTATAATACAGACTTGGGTTACTAATGTTCCCTTAGCCTCCTCTAATGGTGTAACTGCCAGAGGAGGATCACACACCAGTGACAACAGTCTACGACTCCTGAAGCCCCCTGAAACATTAGCTCCCAGGCTCTCTGCCAAGTAGTTACATGTTTCTGTCACATAGGCTAGAGTCTTAAATGTTTTTTCCACAACCATGGGAGTAATACTTACTTGTTGGGGTCTATTCAGAGACAAAACAAGATAATTTAAGTGGACATGCCTGGCAGGATGTTTAGAACAAAAAGTGCGTATCATACAAGTTAACACTTTTCTGATTGTTCATGTATGATTTTTTACATAGTGAAACTGTGCTACTTACTTGTTCGTATTTTCATGTTTTGGTTTTCTTCTGTAAAGTCCTAGGTTAGAGATCAATATATCTCACTCTGTAGCTCAAAGTAATATGGTTCAGGGCAAGTTATCTTCCTCTCAGGGCCTCAGTTTCCTCGTGTGTTAGATGAAGGATTTGGCACTCGGTCTTTGTCACATAGAGTGACGGCCTGTCTCCTTCATGCTGGGCACCACTCGGCACCTGAGCAACAGCCCCATGTTGGCCTCTCTAGTTCCTCTAACCATTCAGTCTTTCTTGAAATTTCTTTGTATTCCTTTGGTGGGGTATCTTCTGTCTCTTGGTTCTCCTCCTACCATTTCACCTCAGTCTGTCCTCCGTGGCATCTGTCTGACTGTCATGGGAGTTTGTCATGGGGTCCTCGGACTCAGAAACTCTTCTCCTTATACCTGAAGCACCCTGCATTGACCTTATTTTACAACCTGCACGTATTTTTCTTCCTACTACACCTCTCTCTTGTTGGCTATTCATTTTATAATATCCAGTGTCTGACACATAGGAAGACTGTTACTGTTTAGTAAATCCAACAGAAGGGTCTATGATTCTACCACTTCTACAATTCTCCACGATTCTCTGCAGTGTTGCTGCTCAAAGTGTGTTTCATGGATCGGTAACACTGACATCACCTGGGAGCTTGTTAGAAATGCAGAGTTTCAGGCAACAGTCCAGCCCTACTGAACCAAAATCTGCATTTTAGCAAGATTCCAAGGTTATCTGTGTGCATATGAGACTCCAAGAGCTATCCTTTGATCGGTTAATTCTTGACTAATTAACCCATAACAAATCCAGACTTATAACAGTTTTAATGGAACGCTTGTTAGAACAGGTGTTTCTATCAGGGGAGTGAGAGTTAGTTCCTTCTGATCCTTTGACTGACCTCATGGAAATTATGGGTGAGCCAGAGGCAGGGAGTGGCCATATATGGAAGCAAAGACAGCTGCCTCTGGCTACTGAATATAACCAATCCTGTCAGTAATGTTAGCTCTTCCAGGGATAAGAGAAGAAAAGCAAGAGGGAGAAAAGCAAGAGGTAATAACAAACCTTAAGGGGAAGGAGCAACAATGGAGTTCATTGTCCCAGACGTTCTCCAGTGTGCTTTGTAGTTCTAAGATGTTAGAATTATTTTCACTTTGTTTTTCAGTTTTATAGAGAAATAATTAATACACATCGCTGTATAAGATGTTCGGATTTTGCAGAGAGAAGTAAGCGGGGTGGGCAGCACCGCAGAGGCCCAGGGCAGCAGAGGCCAGTCCAAGGAAGGAAGCTGCGTGAAGTGAAGCATCACACTTCAGAGGAATGGTTGGAGCTCAGACACTGGGGAGGAAGCTGAAGAAGTAAGGTGGACATGGCTGGAGAGAACATGAAAGGCTTTACCTGCCATGCCACGAAGAGGGCACCTGGATTGATACCTTAGGTTATCTGAACACTCCATACACTTCCCAGCTTCCAGCCCTTTACCTCCAAAGCACATACTCCATCCCATGACTTGCCATGTTGAGATCGTACCTGCATCTGAGGGTCCCAGCAAATGCCATCTTTTTCACAGGAAGCCCTTCTTTTCTCCCTAATTGAATGTGGTTTCCTTTGACTCCTAATTATATTTTAATTTCCTGTTTATTATAACTGTCTGTGTATCTTACTATTTTCTTCTAGTCTAGAGGCTCTTTGGGTCTGAGAGTGTGTATTCTCTTAGTGAAAAGAACTATTATCTGGAATTATAAAAAGGCTATCCTGTCTGTGGCTCTCCCTAAGCAGACAGTTTGGAACGTAAGATTACAGAGGACAGTGAAGGCAGTGGTACTGGTTTCACTTAAGCCCTGTACCATTTGCAGGGGGTTGGCATCCTGTGTGGCCCAGTGCACGTCAGATGGCCCTTGTCTTTCCTTTTACTCCTCCCTACAACATGCATTCATTTTATAACTGTAACTTATTTTTTATTATTGTTGCAAAAGATAACAATGTACTACTGACTTATTCAAAATCATTCTCAGCAGCCCATGATAGAGGGGCTGATCAGGGCATACATTCTTGCCAGACCCTTACAGAAGGAAAGGAATCCCTGGTGGGAGCACTGGGTGGAGGGTTGATGGCAATGGGTGACAGTGATGGGAACTGGAGTCAAGCCCAGCCTTGTTAGCATGTGTACTGCCCAGTGAGAAGAAACAAACATATTGTGTACTTGTTTTCACTCCTTCCTTAATCATACAGATTGTCAGAAGAGCAAAAACAAGTAATAAAAGGCATAAAGGCAACTTCTGGGAATTTAACTAAAGAAAACAAAATGACTAATTAAAAAAGATACAGGTGCCATTATGATTAGCACACATAATATAGGGGGGCATGGGGAAGGAAGTATAGCACAGAGAAGCTTACTATGCTGATGGACAGTGACTGTAATGGGGTATATGTGGGGACTTGATAATAGGGGGAATGTAGTAACCACAATGTTGCTCATGTGAAATCTGAGCATAAGGTTGTCTATCAATGATACCTTAATAAAAAAAAAGGTACAGGCCCCTTATGTTTATCTCAGCATTATTTACAATAGCCAAGATATGGAAGCAAAGCTAAGTGTCCATTGATGAATGAATGGATAGAGTGTGGTACTTAAATGCACTGGAATATTACTCAGCCACAAAAAATGAATGAACTATTGCCATCTGCGGCAATGTGGATGGACCTAGAGGGTATTATGCTAAGTGAAATAAGTCAAACATAGAAAAATAGGATATGATTTCACTTACATGTGCACTCTGAAGAATTAAACAAAAAAAAAACAGAAATAGACTTATAAACACAGAGAATAAACTGGTAGTTGCCACAGGAGAGGGATGAGGGGGATGGGTGAAATAGGTGAAGAGGATAAAAAGGGTCAAGTTACCAATTATGAAGTAAGTAAGTCACAGGGATGAAAAGCACAGCAAAAGGAATATAGTCAATAATATTGTAATGTTGTAATATCTTTGTATGGTGACAGCTGGTAATTACACTTACTGTGGTGAGCATTTTGTAATGTGTATAATTGTTGAATCACTTGTACTTCTAAAATCAACATAGTATTATATACCAAATATACTTCAATAAAAAATAAAAGGCATAAAGGCAAATGTACACTGTAGTGCATTTGCCTTGAACATGACTTAATTTCTTTTTCCTTCTCATATGAAGTTACAATCTTGGAACTAGGTCAAATTTTCACATGTAAGCCCAGGTTAATGGCCTCTCTTACCATAGTCTTTTGAAATCTCCTGTCAAATGAGATTAAATTAAACTTTACAAACTGGAAGTGCTCTTTATAAACGATTGGGCTCTTTATAGTTGCACAAATAAAAGGGGAGGTAATGACATGACCTGATGTATTTATATAAATCTGACAAATCTCTTCTGATCATGTCTTTAGAAACATTATAATTACAAGTCATGTATGTCACATGTAACTGATATTTCTATGTAAATATATAAAGATAGTGAAATGGATTTTTATTTTTAACACAGCTTGAAAAAAAATCTAGTCTAATATGGCAGTCTCATGGGTCTAGGAAAGGGATGATGAGAACACTGGGTACAGAGTAGTCTGAGCAAACCCTCCCAGGGACAAGCATTCTTCTAATACTATGCTGTCCTTTTTACATTACCAAAGATTACAGACATAATTCTTATCTAATTCTGATTTTTATAGCACATGCAGTATAATTCTGCTTGTGAATTAGCACTTACTTTTACATAAGAATTGTGAATGGTGAATTTAATGTAGAGGTAATATAACATAGTGGCTGCTTCGGTTCAAATCCTGACACTACCACTTGCTAGCTGTGGGACATCAGCAAGTTAGCAGCCTTCCCATGCCTCAGTTGCCCCTTCTAGAAACAGGAACTGAACTACCCATTTTGATGGGCTACTTTGAAGTCCAAGTGAATTCAAGTATAAAAAGCAACCGGGATAGTATTTGGCACATAACAAATATTAGTTATTAATGGTACCACTGTATACTTTTTGTAAGGTTATGAGTTATAACTTTTATTATACATATTTTTTTAGTATTAAGTACATGGACCAGTTCTAAACCACAAGAATTATGCCATGTAGAAACTATACTTGAGCCATAAACAATGTGGCTTCTTATGTTGTGACTAGTAGTTAAATTTATGAGAAGAATGGGGGGCACTCATAAGATCATTAGATTACTTATATTACATGATCAGCACGTCTGAAAGAGACTAGTTCACTTTCTGACATTTAGCATGCCATGACAAAAATGTTTTTTATTTACAGAAGCCCCCTTTCTGTGTAAAATAGGTAAGAACAAACATGTATTTCTGGAGTTCTCCAGTGATAAACTCTTTACTTCAAGGACTTCTTAAGCTTTAAGAGTTCAACAGGGGATAGCAAAGTATCTTTAACTATAAAATATTAGTGATTTGATGTTTTGAGGGGAACTAATTTTATCATTAGCAGTTTCAGCGCATTAGGTTAAAATATATACAGATGAATTGTTCAAGTTTTTATTTCTTTTTTTTCTTAACAGACTTTTCTTGAAATCATAAGTCACTGAAATATTTAATCTGCCCATCAATTAAGTCTCCTTAACGGATACCCCTATGATAAAAGATATTCTTTAGAGATAACTTAGTTACACAGGCAAAGCAAGGGCTTTTCTAAGCCCACAATGGTATACTTTCTCTTCAAAAATAATTCAAATGAAGCCAGTCAGAGAGGTCTATGTAAAATAATCAGTGCAGACTGTGTCCCAAGGTACCTCAGATCCTTCTGATCTCTAGCCTGAATATCTCATGCATTTGTGGATCAACATTTGCAGGCAAGATGACCACTAAACAGATAAAATCTGTGGTGGTAAAGGGAATCAAAAAGAGTATATCATCAGTTAGAGAGGCAGACACCAATGGTGGCATTTGACACGTAGTAAGTCAGCATGTCAACTGTGAGCCACCTAGCCCAGGGTCTTCCTACCCACAGCTGGGATATTCAGTGGTCATTTGGTGTGGCCTTTATCTTAGGATTTATATAAGGAATGGCTCAGAGTGGACTTTGGTGCCAAGTTGTAAGGGTTCCCAATTGCCCAATATTCCCTTATTGGAGGGAAGTTGGGTGATTATTAAAAGCGTACTTACAGTTCACCAGTTGTCCATAGTATACTAAAAATTTAACTAATTACAATCTACATTTGTCATACTACATCAAAATGAATCATAACAAAACTTTTATAAGCATTATTCTTTCCTAATTCCAAAGCAACTCTTCTATGTAGGAAACTTGGAAAATACCACTCTTAATTGAAGGCATCAAGTGATATGTATAGTAAAATATATTGTGTATTCTATTTTTAGATAAATGAGCTTCTAAGATAAAAATACAAATAAGATTACACAAATGAAAGTAGTAGGCACAGTATTTGCCATAAAAAATTTCAAGGACTCTTTCTTACCTCAAGAATGGGACACATAATATCCGCTGTGACATCATCATGATTCTTACAGAATTTATAGAATGCTTCGAGATGAGACTTAAAAAGAAGAAAGATCAGTAACAATAAAAGGAATATGTTTTCCTTTTGGAAAATTCTAGATCAGCTTTTCATGGCTTATTAAATGCTTTAATGGAAACTGAATTGCTTCTCCTGCAGGGAGATATTTTATAATAAACATGGTACAAACTTTCACATTGAAGCATGTTGCACAGCTTAAAAAAAACTATGAAAGAACACAGTTGTATTTATCATACCTTATAATTACTTAACAAGGACTTTTTTTGCATGGTTATTGGATTACTTCATATGGTTAATTCTTGCTACTCTAACAAGAGTGCCGAACTCTTCTATGAGCTCTACAAGTAATTCTAGATTTGATCCTAGGCTGTCAGTCACTCTTTTTAGTGCTCAGGAGACACATATGGGGTGATTTTGAGCAAGGGATATATTGGAAAGGCAGAATCTGGACTGTAGAGTCAGACTGCCTGAGTTTGAATACCAACTCTATTACTTACTAGCTAAGGGGCTTCTGCCAAGTAAATTTTACCTGTCCATGCCTCAGTTTTCTCATTTGAGGAATGGGAATAGCACTTAGTTTGGCTGGGTGGACTGGACTTAGTGAGTTAATGCCTACAAATTGCTTAAAACAATGCCATCTGTTAGCTATATCTCAGGGATGCCTCCTCTATGTCCATAGTATCTTTATAAAAAGGAAAACTGCCTTCAGTGCAAAGCTTTTGAGAGTACCATGTATTTCAGCATAACAAGCTATATATACGGCATAACACTATATATTCATTCATTTACTCTGTGAGAGTATTCAAAGATGCTATGGTTGTATGGGTAAAAATGGACAGATTTTGCTCAGCCTATATTGCACAGAGCTAATCAAATGGTGGGAGCATAGTCCAGGAATTTGGCAAGATTATGCAAGGTGGTACCTATGATGTAATGTCCAAAAGTTGGTTATCTTTGTATGCTGCATATTGTTAGTAGATTAAAATTGTGTGGACAGTTTAACAGCAGAATTCAAGGACTCTATAACAGAATTGAACACAGAGATAGAAACTATATAACCTGAGGTTTACTATGTATGCTGGTTATTGTAAAATGGATATGGTTCACCCCACCCATCTATCCATCTACCAGCAACCATCCATCCAATTGCCACCTTTTATGTTCTAGCCACTACACAAGGAGCAAGGGATGGAGAAGAATGGGGTGTGATAACTGCTTTAGAGGATCTTGCTGGTTGAGGGAAGCTGACATGCATGCATTTAACTAGAAGACAAGCCAGGACAGTAAGGGATATTTTCTAAATATACACAGCTTCATAATTGCAGAAGTTGGCTAATGGGCAAAAGTAACTTTCAGTAAAGAATTCTGTTTACAATGTATTATGTAATAAAGAAAAATACAATATTTGAGAAAAGTTACCTTGTATAGTTTATTGCGCAGTAATTCAATATTCAGTTCATCTAGAATATTTTCAGACATACAGTCTTGAAAGAATGGAGCTAGAAGCACAAATTATCACACAAAATAAATTAATCAAAAGCATGATTATAAACCATAGGAAATGTTTCCAGAACACACCACTCTGTGCTCACTTCTGACTAGGGTACTGTGGACACAGACTTGATAGGTCCACCAATAATAATGACAATAAGAGTGATGATTTATTAAGCATTTACTATGCATAAGCCCTGTATTAAACACTGCATAAATTTAAAATTATTTAATCCTTACAACACCTTGGAATGATTCACTTTATGGCTTGCTTTTTTGAAGCTTCGCCTCACCCATTATTTAATAGTAATATTTACCATTTGAAGCCTTACTATGTGCCAAGCATTGAGTTGTACTAAAAACTGTCTTAGTAAGATGCTATTGGTTTTTTTTTTGTTTTTTTTTTAGGAGAGCAAGGCAGAGGCTTTTATTTAGAGAGAAAGTGAGAGGACAGAGCTCCTGGCTCAGGCTGGGAGGGGAGGGACAAGAAAGCCCCCAAGCTACTATTGTTTTTGAAAAGAGGAAATGGAGGTGAGCTGAAATGCCCCAAGTCACCTTGCTGGGACCAGGCTGAGCCTGGCTTCCTGCTCATGGATGTTGGGCTCCAGACTCATCTACTTTCCACCACACTATGCTTTCTCCTTAGCTTAGGAAACTCAATTTTTTTCTTTTTAGAATTTGTTTTAAATACAATCTTTGATAAATGACCAATAGTGAACTGCTACTATCCAGATTTCCTGACAATATTAAATTTAAAATGATACCATTAGCATTTTGAATGCTACAATTATTGTCAGTGTCAAACTATAATGAAATTAACATTCATTCCATTATTGCTTCAAGTCATTTGACAGACACTCCTGAGCAATTCTGAAAAATGACATTCCTAAACTTCCTAAAACAAAATGCTTCCTATACACATCCTTATTTAGACAGAAGTATAAAAATGAATGGATAAGGAACTAATCATATAAAACCCAGTTATAAAATGAATTTTTTAAAAAAATTACAAGTTCTATAATTTATTTGCTATGGTATGGTACATGGTGTAAGTGTTTGGTGGTTGGGAAATGAGTCTCAGCTCCTTCTTGGCTACAAATGGTTTGTGCCATGATCCTAAGCAGGTTACTTCATTTGTCTTGATCTGAAAAATGAGGGAACTGGACTAGATGATTCTCTGATGTCTCTTTGACATCTAGGAATCTGTACAGTATGACACTGCATCCACGGAGAAAATCATGAATTGAATGTACATTGTCTAATTACTGTGACAACATATACAGTCAGTTTTACAACTATGTAAGCATTCATACCTAATGGTGTCTCAACCAGAACAGCATTAAAGAGGTCAGTAGGTGTCTCAGCAATGTTGACTGCTTCCATTTCTGTGAAACGGCCCAGTGGGTGGCACTTCCCCAGAATCTCTTTCACAGATTTTTTTTGTAATGCACCATTCATCAGTAGAATTACATTGTCTATCATGTAACTGCATCTGGTTTGGAAGAAGTTTCAATCATTAGAAAAACAACTGCATGAGAATAAGCAGCATTCCATAGGTTAAAAAAAAAAAGTTTGGGCTCATACTCTTTCACTGAGGAAATAATATGAGTCTCTTTTTATTTTAATCTCTAGAGTTTAAGAAATATGGGTGGGGCAAAATATCTGACTCTGGGGGTATCAAAATTTGAAAAACCATATTCAGAGTCATAGTAACTGACGGGTGGGACTGTGCAGAAGATGACCCCCTACACACTGATCGTCAAATACAGTGGGATGGGGTGAGGGTGTGAAACTGGTTGTTCATAATGCACTATGTTCTTAAAAAGTTGAGAAATACAGCATTTCATTATATTGTAAAAACTGACTAAATCTGTGATGGAGCCCATCATCAAGGATTCAAAGTTTAAAATATATAAAAATAAATAAAACAAAATACTTAATTTTAATATTAAAACAATTATTTTATTTATTAAAAATTCTAAATATTCTGTATTTTCCTCCTATGAGACCAGACAGTGAACTTTCTAGCCTTTCCCCTGCTATGATTCCCAAAGTCCACCAGTTCATATTTTATGTGATTTCTTTCCTGAATATAAGCTCTAATGCCAAGGGTATTCTGGGGGCATGTGCTTGTTCATCCATGTGCTCAGAACCCAGGATATTCCAAGCAATGAGGTTGAGAAATAAGGGACACAGTCCTTTTCTTCACAGAGAGTATGGTTTAAGGGGGAGCTGGACAAAGAATCCATTACTTATACTTTGTACAGGTACAAAGAAGCATACATTCTCTGCAAAACAAGCTATCGGGTGATGTGGGGATCCAGAGCTGGGCACCAAACCAGTCTGGGGTCAGTCTTCCTGGTGAATGACATTCAAGCTGAAACTTGTAGAATGAAATAGCCGTCCAGGCACAAGTGTCTGGGAGGGGGAAAGCGTGCTCGATGCAGAAGGGACAGCATGCCAGGAGCTCCAGAAAGGAGAGCACAGGGAGGTTCTGTTGCCTGCCACTGCAGGGTCTCGAGAGACAAGATAAGGAATTTGGGTGTTGAGGATGATGAAGATACCGAATGCCTTTAAGCAGAGGTGGTATAAGGATCTATGTAGAACTTGGAGTGAAACAGAAGAGGGAAACAAATACTTATACAGTGAGGTGCTTTATTAAAGTATTGTAGTTAGTCATGATAACCACACTGTGATGGTAACTGGTTCCATTATCAGCTCTATTTTAAGGGACCTGAGGCCCAGAGAGGTAAAAAACTCATCCATGATGACACAGCTAAGGCTCAAGTCAGGCCATCTGCTTCCGAAATCTTTTTCCTAACCCTCATGGTCTGCTGTGTGGTCAGCAACAACACCTCGATCTGCAGGCTTAATAGATATAGAGCCATTTACTGAGATGCAAGCAGTGGAGGAACAGCAGGTTGCGGTGGGAGCAGACACTTGGACAGAACGAGTCTAATGTCCCCAGGAGATATCCAACAGGATATGCTGACGTGGCCTCCCCAGTCTGAGGCCTGGAGACAGGTGTGGACCAGACACATGTGGGGGGTCTGGATGGAGTCATTGAAGGTGGAGCAGGAGTCTTGGGAATGACTGGGATCACAGCCTGTGGAGTGTACGTAAAGAGTTCTGTCCTGAGAACTCTGGGTGCCCCAGGATTTAAGGACCTTGATGGAACTTGGGAAGGAATGACCAGATGGTGGGAGGAAAACCAGGGGAGAGAATTCTAGGAAGTTCTAGGAAGAAGTGGTCAGAGCATCAAAGGCCAAAGGAGAGTCAAGGCAAACACTGAAGTAAAGTGTCTATCAGAGAAGACATCCTCTGAGAACATAGTGTCAACACTTCCAGGCCAGGTTGTGGAAGGGAAAGGGGAGAAGGCAGAAACCTAACCATGTGTGTTTTAAATGGGTGGAAAGAGGTTTTTTTTTTGTTTTCAAAGTTCAAACTACAGGTTAGAACTATGGTTCCTTTGGCTTTAAAAGAAGGGGAAGGTAACTATATAAAGACCCAAGGGCCAAGGAGGGTTTAGCTTTTAGTTTTAGTATTTATTTTTTGAAGACGAGAAAGAAGAGAATATGTGCACGTGCTGAGGGGAAAGAGGGATCTGAGAGGGCGAGGCTGTGGATCAGAGGAGTGAAGGGACAGCCAAACGACTACTGCCTGCTCCTCTAGGTCTGGCAGTGATGGGGCTCAACCACTGCCACAATTCATGTCTGAAAAATAACTACTTTCACTGGATAACAATTACCCTCACCACTTAGACACACTGTTACTGGAGCCTGGCTGTGTGGTGATGGACTTCCTGTGCCAGCGCACACTTCCAGCTGGAAAAGATAGTCCTGCGTTGTGGAGCCTCTAGCATTTACCGCAGTAAAAATCCTCCCTGAAGGAAGTTTTGAAGCAGGCAATTATCCCTTTAGAAAAGGCACATGGCCATAGTGCCTTCACCTCCCAAACAGCAGTACCAAATTTAGACATTATGGAGTTATAGAATCCTTTTTACCTCTTGAAAATAATATTAAAATGAAAGTGCTTATTTAACTGTCCCTTTATGGTTCAAAAGCTATTATCTTAGAGGGGAATTGCCAGCACTTAATAATCCTTAGCAGGCTCCAGACATTTAATGGTTCCCCACAGCACCCTGTAATGTAAAAGCACACCAGCTGCCAACATTCTCAACTTGCAGAGGACTATTAAACCAATGTGCTGGGCAACCAGTGTCAAGCCTGGGAGGAGGGATTTAGGCCCCACGTAACATTCAAGGCTTTGCTTGATGTTCCCCATAGGGTGCACGTAGAGGTGCACATGTGTGTACTGAGTATTTATTTTTCATCTATTTCAAACTCCTCATGTTCTAGATAATTGTGCTTCTAATTAGTGTCAGAGCCAGGATTCATGCCATTCTGTTGGGTTAGTTATTCCCTACTCATGGTCTAGAACAAATATTTTCCATTTATAGCCCCCTTTTAAATACTTTATTCTATAACTCTGATACTGGCACCTGTAAAAACCATTAAGTCACCTAAAATAGTGTAGAATAAATGAGTTGATTTCAAAAAGTTTAGGCTTAAAAAGTAATAATCTTTAAAAAATGCCTACTCTTTTAGAGGTTTTTATTGTATGCACGTTCTCACTGAAGCCCCCTGACTCAGTTCTCTGAAGACCATTATTACGTCCACTCTATATATAAGAAACTGAGGCTTCGAGGTGTTATGTACCTTGCCCAAGCTCACACTGCTGGAAAGGGGTAAAGTTGGCTTCCCAAAGCCAAACTCTTAACTCCCTGCTAGAGTCAGATCAAACAGCCCAGACAATAGATGATATTTATATTTCCTTTCGGTCTTAGTGCTGTTCTTTCTCCCTTTGCTCCCAAAGTTATTCAAGGATCTTGGAGCTAACTGAAATACATTTCCTGTATGATAACTAACGAATTCCAGGCTGACATAACAGTTGCTAAATGGTCAGATAATGTAGAGCCATAATTTAGTGAGTTGAGGAACTGTTCCACAGATGAAAATTTAGGTACTTCAGTGTCATTAGCAATAGCCAAAAAATGACTGTCATTCATGAAACACTCTGGTATGAGGCAGGAAAAGAGATGTCTTCTAAGAACATAAGTGAAGTTACAACAAGTTGAGGAGAAACGTGTCAGGTCCTTTCCAAGGACACAGCTATCAAGATAGGGGGCACAGTAAAAGCTGGAGGGTTTTCACAGATCCTTTCAGGCTTCTGTAGTCAGATCTTGTACTGCATATATGTATGCACTATTTGGATTTGGCCCTCCCCAAATCATGTTTATATTCAAGGTACATAAGAAGGAAGACATACATCATCAATACCATGACATGAGGGGAGCAGAGATTTCAGTAAATTTCTAGAAGATCTAAAACATACAATCTTATTGGTGGATCAGAGCAAAGAAGACACAGGTCAGAATGTACAAATAATAAAGCAGCCAGAATTGAGAAATATCCAGGAAAAGTATCAAGCTTGTACTGGGTCAAGAACAGAGATAAGGACTGGGCTGTAAGGCAAGTGGTCAGGGCAAATAACTACAGTAACTTTCTAGGGAAGTGATCTCCCACGTGGAGTAAGGCAGCAAATTTGAAGATTGTTGCCCTAGAATTACACAAAATAATTGTTAAAAAATATGCATCACTTAAATATTTAAGTTGATATATAAAAATTTGTATCAAAGTGTCAGCTCCTCCTTGCTTCTGACCCACAGATTTGGAGGGAACATGTCAAAATGCTGAAGATCTGAAAGGACCAGCCAGGGGAATCAAAGCGTTGCAGCCCAAGAGCAATGCCAAGAAGGCACTCCATGTATTTATTGGGTAAGTAAATCTTAACATCTATAGAATACATGCAGGGGGTCGAGTGGGAGCTTAACACACTACCACTTTCTAAGTCTGTGTTCAGCTCCCAGGCAGCCCCCAGTCCTCTGGGGCAGGACGTCCCCGAAGGATATTCATCCACAATAGAACAATGTAAGGGAGGTAGGGCTGTTCTGTTCTTGTCCACGCATGAGGGGTCTGGAGGCTCTGAGTAAGCTGCCCAGGAAAAGAACTTCATTATATTAGATTGTACACATGATTCTAAAACACTGAATAATATATTAATCCCACAATAAGATTAAATACTGCAAATATATAAATTGTGGTACATTGTGAATATCAATATATAATGACTGCTAAGTTACTCAAATTATCCAGTTAAATATCTGGATATTGCTTGTGAGAGACTGAATTGTGTCCCTCTGAAATTCATGCTGAAGCCCAAACCCCCAAAGTGGTGGTATTTGGAGATGGGGCTTCTGGGGCCATTAATTAGTTTAAATGAGGTCACGAGGGTGGGGCCCCATGAGGACCTTACTGCCTGCATAAGAACAGTCCAAAGAGCTTGCTCGCTCTCTCCTTGCTACATAAGGACATAGTGATACAGGCCAGGAAGAGCATCCTCATGAGAGCAACAGTTTGGCTGGCAGCTTGA